AAGTTTTGAGGAGAAAGATTTACACCATCGGATGTAGTTTTCATTAGATACAAAACTTATTTTTATTAAAATATGGATTAGTCAAAGGTACAACTAATTATTTTGTGAACCGGAATCTTGGGTAGATTATTGTTAAATGAAATCTAAAAAAATATTTATGTAATTACTGACGAGGGTTGCCGTGTGAAAATTAAGAGAGGTCTCCCGTCATAATTATTGGTAGACAGATCAATCCTTTACACACCGACAAAAGTTAAGGAGATTAATATGGTGTGTCAAAAAAGCTACGAATGTCTATACTGAGTCATAAAAAAACCCATGGATAGTATGAAAAATTAAAGTTATGATATATTGATATTTAAATAATTATGCACATTGCAATAGAAGGAAAAAAAATACCAAAGTGTATATTAATTCGATATAGGTTAAATAGGACATTGTTATTTATTGTCAGCATTAACTTTATGTTATGGATGTGACGGTCATCATAAAATAAATCATAAAAGCATAAAACATAAGTAGATATATACCATTCACGATATCATTTTGCATGAATGGTTAATAGTTTTTTCTCCCGCTACAACGCACGGGCATATTTGCTAGTAATACTAAAGAGGCCACAAAATTTTTTTTCGTCCAACCTAATCTCCCTAATATTAAAGAGGTAAAATTTCTATCACAATTTTTGTGTCGTCCCACCTACGCCCTGTTCGCTTGATCGTATCAGCCATGCTTATCAGCCATGATACAGTATTTTTCTCTCACAACAAAACAGCATCAGCCGGCTTATAAGCCACGTAAACGATCAAGCGAACACAGTGCTAATCATCTGAATTGGAGTCAGACACCCCATATCATTTTCGTGTTTTTTCCTTTTCTTTTTCCTTTTCCTTTTCTACCGTATATCCTTTCTGCGTTTTTGGCCCCATTCGCTTCGCTGAAAAAACAAGCCGAAACATTGTTTCGGCTGATTTGTTGTGGGAGGAAAACACTATTTCAGCTAAAAAATAAGCTGAAAAAGACGGATTATAAGAGAAGCGAACAGAGCCTTTGTTTTTTCTTTTCCTTTTCTACCGGATGGCTTTCTGCCGGACGGTTATGGATCGATACAAAAATCAAGACACCACCGAGGAAATCAGACCAAAACCGATATCGAATCCAACCTCACCATGACTCATCATCCTATAAACAGCCGACTTCGCACCCAAATCATATCGATCCCCATATAATCAATCACTAGAACACCTTAATAACACAAATCGGATCTCCTAGAGACGAGGTGAAAGTACACTTTCTCCATAGGCGGTCAGATCGTCGACGTAAGGCGGAGCCGAGGCGGAGCGAGGTGAGGCGGGGGCGCGGGACAACGACGGCGAGGCGGCGTCGAGTCGAGAGCGCGGGCCGCGACGGGCAGGCGCCGTGGAGTCACGAGCGGGAGCACAGGGCAGCGATGGCGAGGCGGCGTCGAGTCGCGAGCACGGACCGCGACGGCGAGGCGCCGTGGAGGCACGAGCGGGGGAGCGGGCCATGACGGCGAGGCACCGTGGAGTCACGAACGTGGGACGCGACAGCGAGGCGACGTCGAGTCGCGGACGCGTGCCCTCTCCCTGCGCATGTGGCTTCGTGTGCACGGGCACGCGGGAGGCGGAGAAGAGAAACACGGAGGAGGATCGCGCGAGGAGGGTCACTGCGCCATGGTTTGTGCCTGCATCTTGCATAGCCGAGGGGGCCCCCTCGCTTGAGCCATGGCCGGCAACGTGCAGACACGAACAGCAGAGGCTAGACCCTAGAGAGTTCCAAGGATATGGGGATTATGGATAAGGAGCATGTTCGAATACTCTACTCAAGATTGACCACAGCGATCACTGACAATTTTCACGATCTGTGGAATAGTATTTTTCTCGTTGGGCCAAACCAGCCAGAGAACTTTGGGCACTGAATAATTCACGATACGATTTGCAGACACAGGATTTTTAGAAATTTGAAGGAAATTCTTTGGAGATATTAAAGTTTAGGCTTTTAGCTTGTTTTGTTGTTGAGAAAGATACTATGCTTGCTGTTCGGTTTTCTTTACTTTTCGATAAATCGTAAATTTCAGGTAAAAGTTTTTTTCTCTCACACAAACCAGACAACGGTAGTTGAATTGTTTCGTTCCTCCGAATTCTGTATATGATTTGAACGACTCATATATGACTCAAATTTATAAACCGTGCACCGATCAGAGATTCTAGCAAGTCAGTTCGATAAGCCGGCTGATAAGTTCAAACGAACAGGCCCCACAAAGGAGACTGGAATACTCTACCTCAAGATTGACCACAGCGAATCACTGACAAGTAGGGTCACGATCTGTGGGGCCCAGTTGGAAGTCGTTGGGCACTGATTTTTTTTTGAGAACTTTGGGCACTGAGTTGAGTTCTAACCAACCGAATCGTAGACACAGGATTTTTAGAAAATTATAAAATTCTCAAGAAATAGAATGTTTTAGGCTTTTAGCTTGTTCATCATAATTGACATAGTGGCCCCCCGTATAAACAATAAAGTTAGGATATGTTTACAAACAAAGAAAAAATCTAACAAGCATGTTTTTTTTTCAATACAACAATTCATTGCACGTGCGTTGTTTTCAACCGTCGTTTTTAAATGGTCATAGTTTCATTTAGTCGAATGAGGCCAAAGTATGTTTGCCGGAGGTATATCTTCTTTTTCTTTAGTTTTTTTACATAAAATGTATGCATGTTGTAGGTAGTAAGTTTTAATTTATAGAAAAAAACAAGGCAACGGTAGTTGAATTGTTTCGTGTCCTCCGCATTCTGTATATGATTTGGATTGTTGACTTCATATATGACTCAGATTTATAAACCGTGCGCCGTGCTCATACGAGTTAGAGCAAGTCAAGTTCAGCAAAGGTATGAGATTCAATTTCAACATATATTGAATTTTGTGGAACGCATAGAGTAATCTTTGCAGTTCCCAACAAAGTTTGGCATGTGAAGAATCGAGATGCCTCCTGTCATAATCTTCAACGAAAAGACCAATTCTTCAAACATGACCAACTAACTTCTTGTCGACTTTAATCAAATATTAAAATAACAAATTCTTTTCTTGAAACATCGTCAACTAACTTCTTGTCGACTTTAATCAAATATTAAAATGACAAATTCTTTTGGTTCCTCAAAGAAAGTTAGGGAACTCAATATTTAGTTATACCAGCACATGGATAGTATAAACAATAAAGTTAGGATATGTTTACAAACAAAGAAAAAATCTAACAAGCTTATGTTTTATTTCAATACTAGCAAAATTGCACGTGCCTTGCAATGGGACCGTCGTCTTGCATGGTCATAGATAATTTATTGCTTAGAGATTTAACGATTAGATCATGCATTTCAATTAGTTGTTCAATACCTTCAACCTCAGCAGCCTCGAGCTTTGGTTTTCTTAATAAAGAGGCAAATCACCGGAGTTAATGGCTCTACTAGTCATGAAGATAGTATCAGTAAGTCAAGTCGTAACCAATCAATCAAACATTTTTTATTTTTCGCCCTCAATCGAAAAATATTCACAAATAGAGCCCTAGTGATTTGATTTTCGTTTATGAACTAGCCCTCGGCCCATGACTTTTGGCGCCGAATCGAAAACACGCCTCGGCGCCATGGCCAATGACGCTCTTGGTCTTGGTGAGGCGTTGGTACGATGGTGGTGGCATGGCCTAATGCCCCTCAAAGTTCGTTCCACAAAAGCCTCGGCGCAGAGTTTATCTTGGCAATGCAAGTTGTTACACTATAGCTCTTGGTTCTTGAAATGAAATAAATATAATTGTTCCAAGAAACATGCAATAACGCCATTGCAAGGCACATGTTTAGGATTTCTTTCTTAAATCAAAAACTTAGGTTCAAACCCCATCGTTGAATCTTTTTTTGCTACATTTTAGAGGAAGGCAAACGCTGTCGAGAGTGAAGCATGGCTTCGATCGTCATGCTGTACAAACATGGAGATGGCAGCGTCGATCTCAAAACAAACATACATAAGCTGTGGTTTCATCAATCAAATATCCAATTTATTTTACACCGGTGGCCTGACTGGAGCTACATGAAATGGAACCCAAGCGTTAGAGTGGCATTTCCACATTGACAGCAGAATGCTCAGCTCACTGCTGCGTGACGGATTCAGATTCAGGATCAATCGACGACTACCAAAGAAAAACGCTCGCAAGCAAAACACATGCAGGTTGAACATTCCAGGGACATGTACAAGGCGCGTGGTGTTCATGAATGACTTCATGTAAGTACTACTACGTCTTACCAACGCGAGAACGAGAAGAGTACTGACGCGTGAAGCGTACACGGAGGAAACCGGGACGACGACGGTGCGTGGCCGTGGCCTTAGGGGCGCGCGTCGGGCGCCGGGTCAGCCCGCACGCCGCTGGCCGGGGAGGGGTCGGGGTCGGCTGGACCTGGCGTGTCGTCGAACACCTTGGCGTCGTGACAGAGCCGAGCATTCAAACCAACTGGACCACAATTAAGATATAGCATGTTTCTTGAAATAATTTTTTTTAATTATAAAAATGTATTGCGCGTGTCTTAACCAGCTGAACCGCAATGGTATTGTTGCATGTTCCTCGGAACAATTATACTTGTTTCATTTCAAACGACAAGAGCTATGGGGAAGCAAGTGTTGGACACGTCAAGACTCTAAGCAAAGCAACGGTGATCATATAGTCGCGTCGGCGCTAATAACTTGTATGAAAACGTGTACGCGCCTCGAGCTCGTCGGCCGACTCGTTGTGTTACGTGTTTTGACTAACAATTCCAAACATTAAATGTCTCCAAATCAAAGCTCTATAAACAAAAATTAAACCACCAGGAGTCTATTTGAGAATATTTTTTAAAAAAAGACCGAAAAATAAAAAATTCTGGCCGGCCGTGGGGACATCGGCCTCAGGGGCGAGCGTGCCGGCCGCGTGGACGCCGTTCCATGCTGGAGCACCGCCTGTCCCTCGTCTAAACCAAGTACATCAGGGTGCCGCACTCCGTTAGCGGGTCAACAAACGAGTAGATCCGATAGAGGATATACATTCCCTGTGCCGTCCGATTTTTATGCCGGCACGACGTTGCCACATCCACATATTTCAAGAAGCAGCGCCAGCCCCTCTCCGCGTGCGGTGGCCCGCGACCTCGCAACCGGCGGCGGCCCGTGACCCCGCGACCTTCCCTCACCCGCACCCCGACGGCGGCCACAGCACACCGCGACCTTCCACTCGCGCACGGCGCCCCCCCGCCCCCATCCCCCACCAGCGGTGTCACTCGAGGGAGGCGGTGGCTCTCCTCCATCCTGGATCTGCGCGCGGCCTCCACATCAAGGGACAGCAGCCTCGATGTCGGCGCTGGCCGTGCTCGCGACCGCGCCTCTCCCCCTCCGATGGCGGCGGCGGCGGGATCCCACCACCACCGATGGCCCTGGCGGCGCGCGGCCTGACCCGCGGGCACGGCAGCCACGCCCCTTCCCCGACCCGCGGCGGCGCGATGTCGCTCCCCTTCCCCGACCTTCGGCAAGGCTCGACAAGGGCCGCGACGGGAAGGCAAGGGCGGCGAGGTTGGGAGATGGCACGTCCTCTCCGTCGGCATCCTCCCCCAGCGGATCCGACCGCGACGTCTGCTCCCCTCTCCTGTTGGAGCCGGCTGCGACGCCCCTCTCCTCCCCCCGCTGGTGGTGGCGCCGGCAGGGCCTTTCCCATGTCGGAGCCGGCTGCGATGCCCCTCTCCTCCCCCGACTGATGGTGACAGCTCCTCGTCGCGCCTGAGGTACGGCAAAAGGCACCGCAGCCTCGCCGGTCACTAACCATGTGCTGCCCCTGTTGTTGGATCTCAGTGTGGCTATTTTTTCTATCTGAATTCCGATGCTTCGTCTCTCAGTTTTCTTAGTGCATTTTGTGGTGAAAATCGTTCCCAAGAAATCTGTTGTTGCTCACCACTGGCACAGATGTGGATCTGTGCGTACAAATCCCAGGAACGGCGGCTGCTAGATTTCGACGGATTACTCTCTGTGCTCCGCTTCATAGTGTCCCGGTCATTACACAGGATTCTGTATTTGCACTGCTCCTCAGGTGAACTGCCTGGTGCCTATCAGATAAAGCTTTAATGTTGTAGCCTGTATTTGCTACTTTTACTTATTTAGATTTGGATACATGCTTATGGGGTAGTCTTATCTTGGTGCTAATTTTTTTTTCTTTTTAAGCTTTTTACCGCGCATTCCTATTTTATATGATAGTCATGCCTATGACTACATCTGAATGTAATTGTTATGGCTATGATGGCTATTTCCTTTCCTTTTATTCTTTGCAATGTTCCCATGAAACACGGATATATTAGTGATAACAAGATCTTTAAAGGAAATTATGATAGCTTGCCTTTACAAGCGTTATGATAGTTTCTCCAAGTTACAACAAGGTTCTATGCATATGTGCTAATACTTTATTATCCTTCGCTTTGTTGTCAGACTAAAATTTATGTGAAATGGACTGAACGTGTATAAAAGACGATATGGACGATATAAAAGACGATATGAACGTTAGTATAAAATTTAGTGGTTAGAATTCCACGTTGTGGCCGTGGAGACCTGGGCTCGAATCCCAGCAGCCACATATTTTTTTTTTTTTTTGTTTTTCATTTCTGTCCTTTATTATGAGCCACATTTTTTGTATTTATTTTTTCATCCATTTCAGTCCTTTAGCAGCCACGTTTTTTTGTTTTTTTTTTCATTTCAGCCCTTTGGCAAGCACATTTTTCCTAGTCTGTTTTGTCTCTCGTGCGCTGGAGATAGCAGCCACATGTATTTTTAAAATTTCTGAAGTCCTATTTTTCTCTCATGTGTGCAGGAGGTGACATATAGATGAGGACTGAGGAGTGAGGAGCGGTGCACACGCTGGAACGTTTTGGTTTTTGAGGAGGAAGCATTTTGGTTAAAAAAACATTGACTTTTCAAACAAAACTTGGGTGTTTATTTGGATGATGACACGCCCCGTTCGGCTTGCTGAAATTTGGCTGAAAGTGGCTGAAAAACACTGTTTTGGCTGAAATATTGTGAGAGAAAAACACTATTCCGACTAAAAAAAGAAGCCGAACAAGCTAGATATAAGATAAGCCGAACGGGGCTGAATTCCTACTTTTATCGAGGTGGAGATAGAAGGACCCTCGACCTTCGGGGCTGCTTGGTTCCCTCATTTCGCACCATTACACCTCACCGAGTAAGGATAGTGATCTATGATGCCTGTTTCGTTCTCTTAGGTCCAGTTTAGTTCCAGAAAATTTTGCCAAATGTTTTAGATTCCCTGTCACATCGAATCTTTTGATGCATGCATGAAGCATTAAATATAAATAAAAAAATAAAACTAATTACACAGTTTAGACGAAATTCACGAGACGAATCTTTTAAGTCTAATTAGACTATGATTGGACACTAATTGTCAAATAACAACGAAAAGTGCTACAGTGTATTTTGCAAAAAATTTCGCTATTTAAACAGGCCCTTACTTGAGTACTATGAAGATTGTGTGGGTAAGATTCTCCTCACTCGCATGAGAACCACATTGGCTTACTCGTCCTAGCAACTTTCTCATTAATTGTGCTAGCACAGTAGGTTTAGGTCTCTTTGGTAGAGCTCTGGTTTCTCTGAAAATGGTTCTAACTTTGGCTTATCTAGAAAAGTAGCTTCATGTATTTTGGCTTCACAAGCCACTAGAGAAGCCCTGCCTTTGGTACGGCTTAAGGTGAATCCACTTGAGAAGCTTGGGAAAGCCACGGAATGAAGGCTTCGGCTTGTCCTTTATAAACGGCTTTGGCTTCATGCGTTTGGGCTTCACAAGCCGATGAAGAAGCTATGCGTTTGGCAGAGTTTGTAAATATATATCGGTGTAGAAGCCATGAAGCTGTGCCAAAGAGGCACTTACTTCATTATGGATTTATAGTCTTACATTTTTGTCATCTTATGAATCTTATGGTATGAATTAAAATTTACTTATGTATTGGTAGTAATATCATACATTTTTATTAAGTTAGGTCAGCATGTGAAGTCACGTTTCTTGATTCTACGCCTTGACGTTACCGTTTCCATATCCTGACTGTTATCAATGTGTTTTCATTCGAATTGGTTCATTTTTTTCATTTCCTATGAACCTTGTTTTCATTCCTATTCTTGGCCTTACCAATTTTGATTTTGTTGCGGTAACAAAATGTAAAATGAAAACAGGAGAGAGGCTATTCTGGTCGACCCAATTTGTCCCTAATTAATGGAAGCAGTACAGTTTTGTAAAAAAAATTGGTACAAATTTTTTTGCAAAAAAAAAAGAATTATGAAAAATATTTTCTTTTTTTGAGCAAAAAAACAAACAAACAGGCCAATCTTTCTAGCGGACGAAACCCAATTCAAACAGCGGCTCGGCCCAACGCAATTCCATCGGCCTGGCCGCTGGCAGCCTGTCCGGCGCTCTCCGTTCCACCTCCACCTGTCGCCGTAGTCCAGTCGTCCTCCGCCCTGCGGCCCCCCCGGCTGGGCGATCCCTCATGGCGTCGCCTCCTCCCGCCCGTGGCGGCCGCGGGGCCTCACAGCGTCTTCGTGTACGGCACTCTGATGTCGGCGGAGGTGGTGCGGGTCCTCCTGGGCCGAGCCCCGCGCTCCTCCCCGACCACCGCAGGTTCAGCATCAGGGGCCGCGTCTACCCGGCCATCCTCCCCGCCCGTGGCCACGCGGTGAGCGGAAAGGTCCGCGTCCGCCTCTCACTCTCTACGCGCCAGCCGTAACCCGTCGCAAATACGGCAGAAACATGGAGGCGAAGGCCACCGAGACAGCTCCAGTCTGAATCCGTTGCCTCTGCTCCGTCCAGGTTCTCAAGGAGCTCACCGACAGGGAACTCCATGTGTTCGACATGTTCGAGGACGAGGAGTATGTGAAGACAACCGTCGAAGTCTCACTGGCTGTGAGTACATTGCAACCGTATCTGCACCATCTGATTCTGATCGACTGCCATACTTACTACCTTCGCATTGTTCTGAACTTCTGATCCTTAGTAGCTCAGATGGTTAATGGTTTCATTTTCAACGATGAAAAAAAGATGGTCTGGGGGTTTTGCAGGATGCACCGGAGAAACCACTCGCCCACGCGTATCGCGTACATATGGGGCAACGAGCGTGATCCTGACGACCTCCACGGGGAATGGGATTTTGAGGTCTGACTGAATGTCACCGTATGATGTTCGTGTTTGTGTCTGTAATTGTATGGTGATTCGATTTGTATTGATGTCTCGGTTTCTGGTCTGTAGGAGTGGAGGAAGGTGCATTTGAAGGACTACCTCGAGATGACTGAGGAATTCATGCAGGAACTCGGGCAATTTTAAACACTTCTCCCCTGGTTTGTAACTAAACAGGATCCTTGCAAATTGCCATAGAATAATCTGTGTCGTAGTATAGCCTCTTGTGCTCATATAGAGTCGACGAGTGATTGCTCCACGATGCATTTCTTCTGTGTTTTTTGGAACATACAGATGTTACTTGAGCCATTTGGATGTGAACAAATCGACTCTTCTCTTCTGCCTGTTTTTGCTGTGCTGTCCTGTGAAATGATAAGGTTTCTGCTTCCTACTAGATGCCTACCACTAGCAGTGAAGTTTATTGCTCTATATATTGGTCACCAACGATTAGGATCTGGATCTGACTAGTTGGCAGTAAAAAGTATATATAGAAATCTGTCAAACTTTACCAAAATGAGATGTATAGAGTTTCCTCGTAGTGACTGATAAAACCTGGTTATAGTCAAACAAAGTGCACCTACAAAATGGACACTGACAGGCTGTCCATTTGTAGATTTTCTGAAACTAGATAAGGAATAGCAATGGGGAAAAACAAGTAAGAATAGCAAGCATATGCCAGTTCACTTAAATGGGCCATTCACATTGGACAAATAGTACTAATCAGTAGAACCTCTTTAATCTGCTTCAGTATTTTCTGAACTGAGACTCATAGTGCTACATGGGTTTCAAGCAACCCCAGGAGCAGTTAAATACAGAATTACAAATACTCTCCACCAAAATACTTTATCTTCAGATCTGCCTACTCTGCCTGAAGTTTAGATTTTGCCTAACCCTCTGTCCGACATTTCGACTTGCCACAGCTCTAGGTAAGTTTCATTCTTCTTGCCTACATTGTTTCAACCAAGAAAAGTACACATATATCTAAAACATACCCTAATATGAGGAGTGCTCTCCCAGCTATAAAAGCCTAGACGTCTACAGCATCCTGCATTGCTTGGCGATAATTCTGTAGATGGCTGGACACTGGTTGCTTTTTGCAACCATAGTTCTCACCTCCCATTCTGAATTCATAATTGTGAAATGCAGTTCAACAACTAACACAGGGATAAAAGGAAATACTGTAAGCAAACTGTGTGTAGGTACCTGTGATCCGATCATTCAAATTGGTCGTAGAAGCCAATCGAAGGGTTACCAGGGTTCTGGTCACAGCGAGGCTTCCAGGCATTCCCACCATCTGAGCTGCTGCAAGCCTGGTTGGAGAGGACATTGTTCCCCAAATCACCATCTAAGCTCATCTGTTGCACTTCTTGGGGGGATAGAATCCTAATGCACTTCACACAATTCACAAACTCCCTGTATAATTCACATCACATTTTATTATGATAATAACCAACGAAATTCTTCTTCTATCATTTATATTCAGTGCATTTACAAAATTTACACACCCTATAAGCTTCAGCATATGCTTATCAATAAAAAGGAAGACACAGGCACATTGCTGTTCACTTTTGTACATTTTTTTTTTTACTATATTACATTCCTAGACAGTATACACGTCTACATTGGGCACTTCTACAATATTATTTTCTTGACAAATTTTCATAGTGAATACAAAATTTAATATAAAGCAAAAGTAGGAACGTAAACTTACTCCCATGGGTCATCACCGAGAAGTAGGATGTCATCCTCATGGTCCTTGTAGACTAACTTCCAGCCTATTCTCTGTCGGTCCTCAAGTTGGCCCTCTATACCAAACATGCGGGCCAAAGCATGCTTCAATTCTTCATATCCAGAGAACCTACCTATGTCAATAGACCGGCCTACAGCTCCACGCTTGTAGACCTACAGGATTTATGTTACAGTCACTTTTATGAAAATGTTAGGTTTACATTCAAAAGAATGAATGGCCATAGCAAACAAAGCACATGCCCAAGAGTTTATGGCTCCAGAGTGAGCATGGTCATAGAAGGTCCCAATTGCCAAGTGTCCAGTCCTTGACAAGCTTTTAAAGCAATATGTGACCACCTCATACACCATACATCCAAGCAAGCATTAATACACTTATCTCGTTTGAATCGTGATTTCAAAACTGCTTGACAGTAGCTGACTACTCAATTGACATAATAGCATGGCACCATATACTAGCACAGCTAAAACCATAAATGCGCTCTTGAAAAGACAGTTATACATTTGCTTTTCTACTAGTCTGAATATGACAGAATTTTGACTACCCTTTCTTTAAACTTTTTTACATGTGAACTTTTTACATGTACTTCACATATATTGTCATATCTGCTCCAATATTTCATCTTATATTTGGTGTACAGAAGTGTATTCCATTCTTCCATTAAAGTCCCGCAATTCAATATTCAGGAATTAGTAAATACAACAACAAAAGTATACTGTTGAATGTTATAATATCAGTAAGTTGGGTTATTTAAAGAAGCACAAACCTTTGTGAATGTCCGCATTCTCTGTGGTGGAGGTGGAGGTGGAGGGGGCCAGGAATTTCTGTTCAACATGGCACCATCGTTGATTGCAGAATCAATTGAGTTAAAAGCTATATCAGACTGACCGAATGACTGTGAAACCATGGAGGTTGAGATCTCTTGTTGGGCATCCTTTTGTATTTGGTAATTGTTCTCAACATCAGTTGACAAATTAGGCTGACACTTCACAGGATTAAGTGCACTTACCAACAAGCCTTCTGTTTCCATAGGAAAGCCCAATGGACCATCATTGTTGATCCCAAAGAAGGCATTGTTAGTTGGATCCACTTCTTGAATTTCCACATCTGGAAGTGCATCTTTGAACATTTGTTGCTGATTGAAGTTAGAAGTGAGGAATCCTTGATGCAAAAGTCCATCTGTTTGGGTAGGCCATAATGAAGTTGCTGATGAAGTTGTTTCCAGGTTGTCTGTTGATGGTACAATGTTCAAAAGATTGTCATGTCCAGTCCCAACAGTGGGTGACTTTGAGGTGATTACATTCTCCTTCAGATTATGGTTCAACTTCGACGATTCCTTCATCATTATTGGAGTTGTTACAGCTTCACCAGATGTTGGAATTGACATCAGAGCAGACGATTGAGGCACCTTCTCCATGTTGATCTTGCAATGCTCATTCCTGCCAATGGTTGGGTGTGCCAAATGATTTCCGTTGTTGGCTGTAGAAGGTGATGTTGAGCAAGAAGGGATTTCCTCAGTTAGTACAGATTGTGTAGCACCTGGAATCATCAGTTGGCTTCCAGCTTTGGACAGAACGTTGGTTGATGAAATCGGTGGGAAGGCAACATCTGACACATCTGCAAGTGCAACTTGTTTCTGTGAAAGCTTCTGCTGTTCTTGCTTCATTGGTGGTGGCACCTGTGATGCTTGCAGTGAAACTTTGCTATCTTGCTGAGGCACGATCCGCTGCTGGGCAAGTGAATGAGAACTCGATAGCTGCTGCATATCCAAAAGTAACTTCTGTTGTTCCTGTATTAGCGGTAATCGTGAGAGTGGAACTGCTGGCTGTGATATAAGTGACTGCTGCTGTAGTTTCTGTAATAGCTGCAACTGAAGTTCCTGGTCAGACAATTGAGCCTGTTGACCAGCCAGATTCACAAGTTGACCTGGCGACTTGTTTAGCTGCTGCTGGTTCTGCTGCTGCTGCCGTTGCAGTTGCTGAAGTAAAAGCTGCTGTTGTTGCTGCAGTTGAAAATTCTGGTCCTGATGTTGCTGTGAAAGAAGCAGCTGTTGCTCACTGGTTCCCTGCTGGCACCTAGTTGGAGACGGCTGTTGTTGTTGCTGCGGCTGCTGCTGCTGCATCTGAGTCTGGATAATTACCTGGGCCTGGACAAGATTGGCTTGAGCCTGGCTTAGAGGAATTGCTTGGTTAACGAGCTGTTGTTGCCTCTGCTGGTTGCCAACTTCTTGCTTCAGTTCTTGATGATTGGTGATAGCATCAAGTTGATTACAAGACAACGATCCCTTGGCAAGCTCATTTATAGGTTGCATTTGCTGAGGGAGCTTGGAAGCATTAAGCTGTACACTGTTTTGTTGCAGGAGATGGTTCTGAACATATAACTGCCTTGCAAGCTCAGTGGCACCAAGGTTTTGCATGGCAGGGTTACTTAGAGATCGCAGATACTCCGACTGTATGCCTGTATTAGCTAATGTGGAGCTCTGCTGCCTGTTCATGTTCATCCATTGAACCAAGCTCAGACCAGGCATTGTGGTGTTCTGGGTCTGAGCATCCTTTATGCATATCTCCTCACCAAGCCAAGGCATTGCCCTCTTGAAAAGGTTTTCCATCTCTGATGACTCGTCATCTGTTAATTCAAATATAAAAGCGAACCATGTAAACCATCAGAAGTAGTTGTCGTGATATGCAATTTGCATTGCAATCTAAAACAGAAAGATGAACCTAAGGCTGATTTACCTATTTGCCTAGGGCGCTTTACACCAAAGAAAGGCTGGGGGCATATGAAGAAAGGAGCAGCAATTGGTTCAATCTCCCACATTGAAACTCTGTTTCGCCTTTCACCTGCAGCAGACTCATCCCAACCAACCTACAAAATTACGCTACATCTGTGAATCAGGTACAAACCAAATCTGCCATCAATGGTGTGGCTCAGCAATCTAACCTGTAAGTTGCGCCACTGGGAGTTTTTCCATCTTACAGGATCTAGGTCACTTATCCCAGTTATCGTACCCATGTACCTGAAGAACATTGAATAATTTAATTAGTATAGAATAGGCAACAAAACCACGGCTATAATTTAGAATTTAAAACAAAGAAATATAAATTGATTGTCAATAATGTGCCAAATCAAAATCAAAATAGGTAAAAAGAGCCACTGTACCTTCTCATCCCTAATTCCTCGGTCTCAAACATCATCCGGAATCGCATTCCTAAAGATATTTGGTTACTATACAGTGCCTTCTGGTATTTGGCAAATGGGATAACAAATTCAGTAGGGCTAGCCCTGAAAGTCCACATTTCAGATAAATCAATCATTGATAGTTACTGAGTTACATAAAAAGGCTGTTTAGAGCCATCAGGGTGGGAAAATTATAGCGTAGGAACATTACTCGCCTAGGGTT